TATAATCATTTATTATTTAAAATTTAAAATAAATTTAAATATTACAAATATAAATTAAAAAAATTAAAAATTTATACATATAAAATATTATATGTTAAGAAAGTTTTTTAAATTATTTAATTTCTTTAAGATAAAATATAATAACAAATAATAAAATTTTAATTATAAAATATTTGTTATTTTAAATAATCATTTTAGTTATTTTAAATAAATATTTAATAATAATGATAATAATCTTTTTCAAATTAATTCAATTTAATTGACAAAATCAAATTATAATTGAATATATCAATAAAATTTTCATATATATGATTGTAAGAATTATTAAAATATATCAATTTCGATTCGAAAATAATCAAAAGATCAAAAAATCAATAAACTATTAAATTAAATATTGTAAATAGAAAAAAAAACATTATTGTTAAATCTAAAATCATAAAATAATGCAATAAATTGATTTTTAGAAAGAATAGAATATTTTTTTATGTCAATCTGTTTAGTAAATATTCAAATGAAAATTTTTTTTCTACATATTTTTTTTTTATATTAAAAATAAGATAATATTCATTTTCTTATTTTCTTATATATTTTATTAATAATATTTTATACTTTTATTTATTACTTATTATTCTTATATTAATTTTGTTTTATAATAAATTATTAATAAGATACATGTATATATATTTAAATTTTAATCTTTAATCTTTCTGAAAATTTATAATATGCATTTAATATAATTAATGTATCCTATTAATAATATATTATAAAACAAAATTAATATAAAAATAATAAATAATATACATAATTACATAATATCACTTAACAGCACAACCGATATAACTTTCAATTGTTTATATTGTAAAACATATATATTTCGTAATAAAATAAAATAAACACTTATTTTTACTATATGAGCAGATTTATAATTGGCAAAAAATATTTAAATGCCAACAAAAAGATGCCATATCGTGCGATATTGCTGTTAAATAGATTTTTTAAATTAAAATATATATAAAATATATATAATTATATGTCTATATCGATCAGTTATGATATTATCATAAAAAATTTATTTTGATAAAAATATTGCTTTAAACGGAGTTTTATTATTATTATTTTATAAAAAGAAAAGAGTATTAATAGATTACAAAAAAAAAATAACAAAAATTTTCATATATTTTATGCCATTTTTTCATACTTTTATATAATATATATGCAGATTTTTATTAATTATACATTAAATGCAGTAAAAAACATAATAATAATATTTTACATAACAAATATTTATAAAACTGAAATAAATCTTATTGAGTTATCTAATAATTAATAAAAAAAATATATTTCTAAATATATTACATATTATATGATACAATATATATATATATATTGTATCATATAAATATTGGCCAAATATATTTACATTTAAGTCTATATCAAGATTATGAAAAAATAAATTTAGAATTAAGATTAAGACTATATCAAGATTATGAAAAAATAAATTTAATTAATTAAAATAGCAGAACAGTCAGAAAATATTAAAAATTAATTCATAATTACTTATTCAATTACTTATTCAATAAAATAGCTAATATTTTTTACAATTTCTGTAATAATAAAATTTATTGTAAATTAATATTCTATATATTTTTGATTATTTAATTCAATAAACATAAATGAATGAACCGAGAAAGTAAATTACGATGAAATTAATATAATCGATTAGTTCAAGTTAATATACAAATATACAAATATTCAGTGAAATTAAAAATAGTCGATTTTTTCGAAAACTACTTATATATTTTTAACAAAATTTAATGATTTTTTTTTAATTGTTTATTGAACTTGAATATTAAATATTTTCGAATATATTAAAATTCTAACTTGACGAAAAAAAAATTAATTTAATTAATTATAATAACACTCAATTATAATAATTGATAATAATAAATAAAATAATAATAATATCTTTTATTTTTATATTATTAATTTTGTGATTATTTTATATGTAATAATATATATATACATATATAAAGAGTCCGATCAAATAATATATATAAACATAATTTCTTATGAAAAAGTAAAAAAAAAATAAAATAAAATAAAATAAAATTTTTTTCATCTAAACTTTACTTTTAAGTTCAAAAATTGTTCGATTATAAATAAAATTGGTTAATTCCTAATTGGATATAAATCAATTATTAATAAAATTATTAAGAAAATTATTTTATTTTTTATTATAAATTATATGAAAATAAGCAAAAAATATAAAATTTATTTTATTTTGTTTAAATTTCGAGAATACGAATTTTAGAAATAATTTTCGAGAATGAGAATTTTAAAAATTGTCAATTATAGTTCTTGATTACACGTTCAATCTCTATTTT